TAATTTTAGCTTTGTAATATGTTTATACTTTGTAGTTTGCACTCCTGGCTAAAATTCAAAATGGCGCATTCAAAAGGGCACACACGGTGAAAAAGTGGAGACATGGTTCGTCATCAGCGCGCATTCTGTGTTTATTATTTCTATGGGTGGAGCCCATTGAGGCACAAAATATCATTCGACTACCCATTGTAGTACCTAGAGCCCACTAAGGCACAAAATAACAGTGATCTGCCCATTGTGGTCAAGCCCATTACAATGAGCAGATCGATATTATTTCGTGTCTCGGTAGAGCGCTAGTCCATTAAAGCACAAAATAACATTTGACTACCCATTATGGTACAGCCCATTGACTCATTGAGGCACAAAATGACACTCGACTTCCCATTGTGGTGGAGCCCATTGAAGCACTAAATAACATTCAACTATACCTATTGTGGTAGAACCTATTGAGGCAAAACGTATCACTGATGTGCCCACTGTAACAGAGCACAATAGGCAATTCCAGCATTTAATGTATGCATGCAGGGTGTGATGGGAAGTAAGGTATCATATTGCTGATTATGCTGAAAAATGTCAATAAAAACTGCCGAAACAACCGAAATATTTCAATATTTTCAAGTATAAGCTATCACTCCGAGTTTACATGCACGGCCACTGTTTTTATTTTTTCAGCATAATCAGCAATTGATAATACCGTACTCCCCCCCCCCTCCCCTACACGCATAAACTAACTGCTGGAATTGCCTATTCTGTGATGCTTAATATCTCATGCTACCAATTATTCTTTTCTACAGTTTTCCAATTCTGACGGATGTGAATGGTGCCATGTTAACTGTTGGGTGAAATGCGTTACCCAAATCAGTCCCAATGAGTTATCCAAATCAGTACCCTTCACCCTTGATGATGAATTACGCCAGACCGCCCAGGCGTTGACAGGTGCATGATTACGATTCATCCAAGTTTGTTTGTCCCTTCCTTAACAATGTTACCCATAAAACCACTCAACTAAATAAGATACCTGTCAGAATTACTCCACGCACAAGACAGCACAATCATATAAAATATCTTAGGCATTGCAGCACTTTGAGACCTATACAAGTAAATAAAACTGCCCCGAGTCAACCACGCTTAATTCCATGTTGCTCAGTGTTGAACGCCAAATCTATTGCTAAACCTCATACTTCTCCTGCTTTGTGCGCAGACATTAAGTGCAATTACATAGATGTTTGTTGTATAACCGAAACATGGCTCAAACCGACTATACCTAGCTCCCACCTTTGTCCTCCCAATTATTCCATCATTAGAAAGGATAGAACAAACTGTCGAGGAGGAGGTGTCGCGATCTTATGCAGGAATGATTGGAGAATTCAGCTACTACCTAATTTGGATAATCCATTCGAATGTTTATGGACAAAAATTATTACACAAAACTCTGAATTCTTTGTTTACCACCCACCTGACTATGAGTATAATGAGCAAGACCTTATCGAATTCCTTATTGACTCGTGCGAACAACTATTGTTATCTAAACCGAATTCAAATATAATAATTGTTGGTGACATTAACAATTTAAATATTCGATCTGTTTTTAATCAACTTCCATTTACCCAACTCGTTAAGACCCCTACGAGAGGACTAAAAATATTAGATATCTTTATTACAAATGTCCCAAACTATTGGAAATCTGTTAAAGTTGTAAAAAGCTTGGTGAGATCAGACCATGATATGGTTATCACATACCCCCGAAACATAGTTAAAGCAATAAGGACAAATTCCTATTTTAGAGATTTGAGACAACATCATCAATTGAATATGCTTCGTGAACTTGAATCTAATGATTGGAACACGATAATTATGAATAGTCATAACCTAGATGAGATAACCCTAAAATTTTATGAAATAATATGGCCAAAATTAGATAAGAGCTTCCCATTAATTAAGGTCAGAACGTCATCTCGCGACCCTCCGTTCACGTCCCCTCTTGTGAACCACCTTCCGAATCAAAGGAAAAGAGCCATACAAAACGGAAATACTGAAGCAAATACACGATTGCAAGAAGAAATCAACAAGTTAATTCGGGAAAATCAATTAAGTGAAGTCAAACAGGAGTTTGGCAACCTGAAAACTGGATCGAAAAGTTGGTGGTCTAACGTAAATAGCATTACCTCGAGAAAAAATAAATTAGATGTATCTGTAAGTGCTTCTCTTAACCCTCGTGAAAATGACAAATATTTTCAAAGTGTGAATAGGGATCCAAATTATACGACTCCCGAGCCTCTTCAAATCTCCGAAGGAACAAGAATCCCTTCGTTGTCATTTCATGAAGTTCAACATCTTTTACTGAATCAAAAACGCTCTTCATCGGGTCCGGACAATCCGCCATATTGGTTTTGGAAATCGTTTGCTATTGAATTAGCTCCTATTGTCACAGAAATTTTTAACATGTCACTAAAAACCAGCAAGTACCTCAGAAATGGAAATCCGCTAATTTATTACCATTCCCTAAAGAATCACCATTAAATTCGTGCAACCAGTTAAGACCAATCTCTTGACGAACATCATCACGAGACTATTCGAGAAGTGCTTGTATAAATCTAAAATCGCAAAAATCGCACCTATCACAAGAAATAACATTGGTCCTGACCAATTTGCTTATAAAAAGGGTCACAACTCGACTATAGCCCTGATTAAATCCCAACATCAATGGCTAGAGTGGCTGGATAAAAACGCTAATTATGTTAGAGTGCTGTTTTTCGATTTCAGGAAAGCATTTGACAGTGTGCCCCACGATCTTTTGTTTGAAAAAGTTAAAAAGGTGAACTGGATAGTTAGCTTTCTAGAAAATAGAATACAAAGAGTAATGGTTGATGGAATTGTTACAGAATATTTATATATTAATCGTAGTGTTCCTCAAGGTGCCGTTTTAGGCCCAGTTCTTTTCTCAATAATGGTCGATGATATTAAAACTGCTGATCCTAGTAATTCGTTAATAAAATTTGCTGACGATTTGACGTTAGGAGTGCCTGGCAACAAAAGTGGTGACACATCTCGATCTGAAGCTGCCTGTTTACAAGATTGGGCGGAAAACTATAGAATGCCCTTAAATTAACTTGAAAAAAACGTACGAAATGGTTGTTCGCAGACACACCTCTGTAGTTTTGCCTGAGCTTATCCCTTCAATTAAGTGAAAAACATGGCTAAAGCTTTTAGGAGTTACTCTACAAGATAATCCGTGGCGCAACTGGGATTTGCACTTCGAATAAATGCTCAAAAAAGCAAGTGGAAGAATGTACATTATGAGAGTTTGCAAATACTATGGACTATCAATTAAACAATTAGATCTGCTGTTTGATAGTTTAATTATGTCTAATTCACTTTTGCTATTGAGCTGTGGGGTTGTGCATATGACGGTAAATATTTGAACCAAATAGATAAATTCATTAAACGTGCACATAAGAATGGTTATATATCAAAACGAACACACATTAAAGAAATACGTGATAAGAGAGATAAGAAACTGTGGAACAAAATAACATCAACTGAGGACAATGCATTGCCTGAACTGCTGCAGCCGAAAAAAAGAAGTAGGTTACTTAGGCCTAGAGTGCATGAGTATGAACTCCCCCTAGTGAGAACAGAAAGATTCAAAAGGTTGTTTATCAATCGTTGTCTGTATAACTTTGTTTAGACTTTAATATATTTAAAACTTTTTAAAACTTTTTACCCTTCTTAACTTACATTGTAAATATAACTATCTAGATCAATTGCCTTTCGATTGAAAACTCAGACGGATGTATCTGAGTATTTTACTAAAGACTATTATTATAAATTGTTGTTACAGTCAAAATATAATATGGATATATTACATCACATGTAATAGGATAAGTGGGAGCTTCTGGATTAACAGAGATGTATTCCTATTAAAACAAGATTTCCTTTTAAAACAAGAATGCTGATTTACAAGATTGTATCGATATACTCCATCTGCCATGTATTATTAAATTACCGTACTTTTTTCCAAACTACCATATGGATGTCAGGAACATTGTATGCCATGATATTACAAACCTGTATATGTACAGCAACCTAACAAGTCATTGAACAATAATGATGGCAATAAGGCAATTTAAATAAATGAAGTTGATTGGTATAATCAATCCCCATGGAGTTGGCCGGTAAGGCAGCACTTGCCTTGCGTTGGTAACTTCTAGTATACATTTATCCTAGTTTGTTGAGGAACAAACTTTTTTATTCTGCGCAAGCTTGTTAACAAGTTGTGACAATGCTGTGCCAACATTTATATACATAAATTTTCAAATTCTACTGATTGATCAACTATAAATTGACATTATATACCACTGGTTGTGAACGTTAGTGTTCAGCGATAATAAAGTTTGAATCTAAAATCTGCGAATGGAAAAAGTCAATCGAAAAGCGCTCTTAGTGATATAAAATAAACTCCAGTTTCAAAGGTGATGCAAAATGAATTACTATAAGCACCAAAAATCGTTTCGCGTTTGACTTTCTCACTATTTAGAAAACAATGAGTTCGTGTATTGGCCGTTTAGATTTAGCGATGTCTATATTAGAAACACTTAACGGGTTAACGATACTATTGGTAACATCGTATATGGACTTAAAATCGTTTCGACCGACTCGATCGTATTTAGCAAACGTCGTGTATTTCGCGGCCACGTGACAACACAATCAGCTTTGAAATTTAAACTGTTTGTAAATTGAAACTTAGCAATGTCGATATGAAATATTTAACGAAGTATTAGAAATTAACATCATAATTATTTATCTATAAACTCTAAATACATGCAGTTTCGGCCGACTTAGAATTTGGCAAGCGTCATATATTTCGCGCCTGCACGCGCGAAATTTCTGACCCGTCACGCTTGGTCAATGATCACAGAGGTCATGCAGGAATTTCGCTTGACACCGGAACAGACCAACTGAAATATGATACTGTATTTCTTCCATGAGCTTGCCGATCATTTGCTTTGAGATATTGAAAGCTGTATCTAAGTTTTCTAAGAGAAATATTGCGTATACATCAAGGTTCAATATATCTGACTTTTAATTGTTACAAAACAATGCCAGTTTGAAAACGTGATTATTGATTACTGGGCAATAGCGTGGTTATAAAGTTGCCAGATGGTCAGATTTATTTTACATGGACATATATTATACTGTACATGATGTATGATGATGAAATAGTTTATAAAGGAATTTATCGTTCCACAGTCTAAATACGCGTATATTCTCAGGCGAGATTGCAGAATTTTAAATCGTTATGCAAACTTTGTGTATATCTTGGACGCCAAAAGTTCATTGAAAGGTAAGAAGTGAATAAATTCATGTTTTATTCGACTAATTCGAGGTTTTATTGTGATTTTACCACTTCCTGCTGTGTCATTACAATGCGTGCAAGTTTATACGTCATCGCACTAGTGTTGTTCTGTGCGGGCACGCTTGAAATTAATTCGTCAAGCCTGATGTATGCGAAGAAATGTACAATAACAACGCCAAAAGCAGGCAAGGAGTAGAGAGGGCGATTAGCTTTAAACAGATAATCAATAGCTATATAAAGCACTATTGACAGTATTGTGTTTCTAAGAATTCGTGTTTGCTTTCGCTTTTTGCATCAGTGCATGTTGGTGCATGAAATGTTAGCAAACTGCATGACTTATGACTATAAGCCAGGGAAATTTGGTGTCTGTAGGAGTATAGCTATTATATTAGCGAAAATAAGCTGCGGTTTAAATAACTCTTTTTTTAGCGAAGTTGGAAATAATCTGGAATTAACGCCTAACGTGTTTTTAAGACAAAATTTTAGTTCTCAGTCAGTTATATGTGGATGGAATTTTAGCTTTTTTATAAACCACTTCTGATATCGTATTGCGACCATGGACCACGGGGCAACAGGACAGGTCCGTCAGGTGCGCTGTTGTTAAATAAAAAGAAAGAAACAGACGTATTATACTTACTCATAAAATATTTGAATTATTCAAAACGTGATTGAATAGATCAGAATGTTCGATTTTTCAATCTAGTTTTTGAATAATTCAAATATTTTATGAGTAAGTATAATATATCTGTTTCTTTCTTTTTATTTAACACAGCGCACCTGACGGACCTGTCCTATTGCCCCGTGGTCCATGGTCGCAATACGATATCTGAAGTGATTGAAACGTCTTGTTTCGGTGTACAGCCGTTACTCTCGACGAAACACGCGAGAGAACGTCTGCGAGTTGGATGTATAATCCTTGTTTAGGTAACGTGGATAGTTCCCAGATTTGGGGACCGGCCTCTGATTGGACAGTGCTTTATTTGAATAATTTATGACAAATGAAGCTATTTCATTGGTTAATTGATAATTAGCATGCGGTTTAAAATAACAACACAAAAATTTTAAAATTCCAGATCAAGAATCAAGATTTCCTTCGGGGCATATACAAAGGTTTGAAAGACTTCTTGAAAGATAATCTGTTGAGTGTTGAGTTTAATTTTGTGCTGTATCGAAGCTAAGAAAATCAAGATATAATTCTTGTGTTTGGACACTCAGCGAACAATGCTGACAAATATATAAAATACAACAAATTATCGGACGGAAATTGACAATTTATAATTGACAATTTAATAAATTGACAATCTGTTTATATGTCCCGACCCCTCGCGATAAAGCATTTTGTTTACATGTAATGTGTTTAACTTCGTCTTACTTGGACAGTTAACTTTTAATTACTTTAAAATGCACCTTTTGAATAACCAGTTGTGTTTATATATGTTTTTATGTTTTTACTTTGTCTTTGTATACAAATGTACGCCATATATATGTACGCCAAGAACTGAACTTGTACACCGGACTTGCCGGCATGAAACCGCATGCTAATTATCAATGAAAACCAATGAAATAGCTTCATTTGTCATAAATTATTCAAATAAAGCAGTGTCCAATCAGAGGCCGGTCCCCGAATCAGGGAACTATCCACGTGACCTGAACAAGGATTATGCATCCAACTCACAGACGTTCTCTCGCGCGTTTCGTCGAGAGTAACGGCTGTACACAGGCTATACGTAATTAGTTGAAAACTGACTCGACTTAAAAAGGCTCGAAAAGGCGAAAAACAAACTCGGCCAAAATGTCAACATTTAAACGGAAAAACTCTTTAAAATGATAGCTAAATACTTGAACTCGTACTTAAAACAAGCACGCACTAAAGAGGTTGAGAAAATAGGGGTAAATAGCTACAAAGTATTGTTGAATTTCAACGATTCTGCTTGGAATATTAACAAACATTAATTGTGCATATATTTTAAAAAATCGCCTGTCACTTTCATGTTCAAAACAACGAGCAAAGTTTTACCGCATGTGTCAGCAGTTTAATTCCAAGAGTCTTTGTTTGTGTGTAATCCAGAATCAAAATGAGGCCATTTTGATAAGCTTTTTTCCTTTAAATGCAGTTTTTAATACTTAAAAACGGCCATCGACTCTCGCGCCCTTCGCCGCTTGTTGCTACTAGTAGGCTATCACTAATAGCCTACTAGTAGCGTAGCCAATCAGAACGCACGATACATGATAGCCTACTAGCAGTTTTTTACTAATTGTTAAATAGTCCTAATAGTCTTCGAAATATTTACTCGCCCCAATCTACATGCCGGAGAGGGGGGGGGGGGCAATGCCGTGCGTCATGTATATTGGGTAACCTCGTTCCCATGCTATTCCCTTTTAGTATAAACCTACTAGTAGGTTATCACATTTCGTGCCTTCTGATTGGCTACGCTACTAGTAGGCTATTAGTGATAGCCTACTAATAGAAAATTCAAAATGGCGGAAAATTCGCATTTTGCACTTTTGCCGAAGTGTCTGATGATTTTTTTGGACGACTTGTTGAACAATTCTGTACTAAAAAACCCGAAAAAGCAACAAAAATATGGAATGGCAATTTGTAAGGGTAAGAAAATAGACAAAATAACATACACTCAATGAAATTTTAAAATTAAAACTGAATTTTGTAAAACAATTCACGCGAACAAAAACTAAAATATTTGTTTACCTTTAATGGTTTTATAATGTTTTTTGTATTTTTGTATTGTGTTTGCAGCCTAGTTGTAAATTAATGTTAAAGTTTATACTAAAACAATTAGACAACTTGGCCTCGTTGTCTATGAGCAAATAGTCAACTCGGCTTCGCCTCGTTAACTATTCGCTCATAGACAACTCGGCCTCGTTGTCTAATTGTTAAGTAGATTGGAGTCAGTAAATATGTGGAATTTATTTTGAAGATTATAGGACTATTCACGTACGAAGTTTCGAACATTCCGATCTTTTGAACATTCAAATATCTTATGAGTCGTATAATTATACTGTTTAACAGCAGTGCACCAGTCCTATTACCCGTGAGCGAACGCATGGATGTCGGTATTGTATTTGTATTCTTACTATTCTCATTGTGACGATTTTATTTTCAGAATGGGTGAGGGATGAATAGAAATTTGCTGTATCGGTCCAGGGGCTTTCTCAGGAATTTGTCAGTAGGGGGCGGGGGCAACTAAAAATGGGGTTGGTGGGTATGGTTTAGTGGAAGGGCCACCATGGGGGCTTTGACCCTCCCTATATCTGTGCACTAATTACCTGCTTAACCTTTATAGCTATACTTGTATGTTCCTGAACTGATATCTAATGAAAACTGAATGACCTGACTTTTATTTACACTGGTTTGAAACAAGAGAACGACACACTTGGTCATTGGGATATTCACAAAAGTGATACAGGTACAGTACTGTACGGCCATATATATAATTATATATACATATACATTTATAAATGGCATGATTACTATTCAAAATGTTGAAACAAAAATTAAATTATTCAGGATTTCTATTATATTATATATTTTCAATTTTATGGTACATTGATAAGCCGTCTACATTGCACAATCATTTTAGCTAATAGTTTAATTATTTATAATTATATTAAATTTTATAATTTAATGTACAGGTTTTTTCCGGACTAACATAAGCATAGTCAAAAAAAATTTTCCGGACTAACATAGGCATATTGAACATTTTTCGACCAAGATAAGCAAGGCTTCCAATTTTTTACCGCAAACGTAACAAAAGCTTTACATTTAAAATTGTTAAAATTGCCAACAATTTCATAACTTTCAGCACCTTCGATCACCTTCGATCTTCATCCCAAACTTTGACCAAATTTTTCCGAGGTTTACTTTCAATTTTAAGCAAATATCAGTTCCATTTTAATTAACTTTGGGCAAATACCTTTTCCATTTTGACCAACTTTGACCAACGTTTGAATTATTGGGTGGGTGTTACACCCCCCCCCCCTGTAGCGACGTTCCTGGTGGGCAGTAATTTAAAGTGGTTACTTAGTTCTATATAGGCCTTACCTTTGGTGGGCAGCAATGTTCGTTAAAAAGTTTCTCTGCGGATACTTGTAGCCAATGTAGTTAGACAATTTCGGCGTTGATAGGAACAATTTTATTCTTGCATGGGGCTAAATAAAGATTAAGATGTATTGTTACAAACGTTGGCTCATGTTTGTGTTTGCTACTCCTAAATCGTACTCGAAATCCATTCTCTGTCAGGTTGTACTCTTTAACCAGGCTTCCTTCAACTCTATATAATCTACTGCGGCTGTTTCTGACATCCTAGAGTAAACATCTAGCGTCTTACATGTCAAGTAAATGTTAGTATGTCAGGACTTAATTAATAAGAGCAATTAGCTTTTACCGGACATTGAATGACGTTTACGCGTTGATTGATAAATAACATGTATGTAGCGCACATGTGTGGCGCAATATCAGAAAAGGTTTACAGTCAGCGAAGGATTTAGAAGATATAACGAAGTCAGATATATAATTTGAGTACTAAGTGTTTTATACACTATTAAATAAAGACGTTTGGAGTTAATTCCTGTGTTATTGGCATCAAAGAACCTAACAACGGTAACATTTTGGCGACCCCGGCAGGATGCCAGATCAGGATATATTATGACTGTGGAAATGATTGAAAATATAGCAGCCGAGAAGCAAGTTTACCCCGCTTCAACCGAGGTGAGATCGTTCTAAATTGTTAAATTCACGTAGAAGAAGGTATCATAGAAATGATTATGTTGTGAACGTTTTCCCGTGGCTTCTATATATTGGCGACTAAACAAAATATGTTGAAATTTGAACTTTGTATTTAATGCGTCATATTTCACTTTGACTGTATTATTGGCGAAGGAACAACTCGAAGCGTTGCAGTTTGAGTTAGAGTCCCTTCTTTATACGAAAAATGAGACTGAGTTAGAAAATTTCGCGGCTTCTGTACAGATAGACGGGGATATAGCGGGTAAAAGTAAAATAGCAATAACAAAGCTCATTCAAAAATATATCGAGAAACAAATTTCCGAAGAGGGCGAGATGCAGGCTAAACTTGAATGGTTTCGTAAAGCTATTGATTCTTTAAAACCAAAGCCCCAAACAAACAGTGAATCAGAACTTGCCCTTAGTGAATTACAGAAACAGATCGATAAGTTGAAAGAAAAACAACAAGCCGAACTACAAAGCATGATGGAAAAATTATCGCAAGCGAAAATAGACGCACAGGAAACCCAAGTAGAATGGGGGGAAAACGGGTAGTAATTCGGACAATATTGTAACTGTAGAGAGTTCCGGAGCTAAAAAGTCCCCGACAAACGCGCATTATTTACGGCGTGAGTTCAAAATCGCAGGACAGATTGGTGAACCAGGTCAAACTGATAAACTCACGTTCGTATCACTAACCCACCAGATTGATTCTGGTGTAAAACGCAAATATAGCGAACATGAAATTGTCGACGCCGTAATTCGAGCCATTTTGCTGCATAGTAGTCTGCGAAGCTACGTCGAGACCCTGCATGATGTGTCCCTGCCTAAACTGAGGAAAATCCTGCGCGTGCATTATAGGGAAAAATCTGCGTCGGAATTATATCAACAGCTGGCGACTATTTTTCAGCACCCAAGGTAAGCGCTCAGCAATTCCTTCTTCGCTCCCTTGACCTGCGCAACAAAGTTGGTTTCGCTAGCAAGGAATCCGACTGCGAAGTTCGTTATGACGAGTCTTTAATCCACAAGACTTTCATCAAATCGTTTGAGACGGGTCTTCGAGACGATGTTCTCGCTGCCAGTTTACGACAAATACTTCGTTCACCCACGTTAACGGATGAAGATCTGATGAGACCTGTGAACGAGCTTGCATCCGATCACGCGGAAAGACAGAGCAAACTGTCCTCGGAAAGACGATTTGCGAAAGTCAACTCGTGCGAAGTAGAGCCGGCTGAAGCGACCACAAAGAAAGATATGGACGCGAACAAGCAAATTTTGGCGGAAATACGCGAGATAAGATCGGAAGTCGAAAGCCTAAAACGCCAGCAAGCCTGTCAAAATAGCGGGAATGGGAAAGAGGACCGGAGAGGATCGTACACAAGTCGGGGGCCGACGAAGTCATCGCGACATCGCGGAAGAGGCTGTGAAGCGTGCAAAAAACGCGGACTCGGTGACAGCTGTAGACACTGTTTCGCCTGTGGAGAATACGGTCACATAGCTTCTGAATGCGAAAAGAACAACCCGGAACCCAGGGAAACGAGAGACGGCTATCCCGAACATGGGACAGGGTTTAGCCGAAGAAACGAAAGCGTCCCATCTGTGCAACGGTTGCGGTAAACGTCTAGAACAGTACAAGGTTTTGTGGCGTTGTTCATGTTGCAAACTCGTGGTTTATTGTGGTAAAGACTGCCAGAAAGCACACTGGCCAGAACATAAAATATTATGCAACGCCATAAAACACGAAATTGAACAGAAAACCCCACCACAAATGACACAAGTTCAGGTATCTTCGTTAGTCATCTAACACCTAAGCAACACGCAAAGGTAATCAGCCTGGTAGGAAGACGATGTGCAATAAAGGCAAGACTGAATGAGAAAGTGGTTCAGATTCTGTGGGACACAGGCGCCCAGGTATCCATGATCTCAACGAGCTTTATTAGAGAGCACTTTCCAAACGTGTTGATTCGTGATGTAGGTGATCTGCTGGACGGCGATCTTAACCTAACCGCAGCCAATGGTAGCGACATACCATACAGAGGGTGGGTGGAGTTGGATCTGCAAATTGCAGATTCAGAACACGTTCTTTCGGTGCCTTTCTTAGTTACCAATGAGAAAGTGGGAGTTCCGTTGGTGGGTTTCAACCTTATAGAACATTTAATCAAATTTAATAAACTGAACGGTGATGAAATAGCTGCAGCTTTCGTTAGAATAAATGCTTGTGACGCGACAGCCCTGGTGAATTTAGTGAACAGTGCAAACCATGATGAACTGTGCGTTGTAAAGACTTGCAAGAAAGATGTTGTCGTACCTCGTGGACACGGGTCCTCTAGATAAACGGACACCGGTTTTGTTTGAATCGGACGAGAACCCCACCTGGCCAAGCGGTCTCCAAGTTTCCAACACTCTGTTGACTGCAAATGTAGGGAAATCTAGTAGGGTTGAAATAGAGGTAGACAATACCACCAAACATGACATTACTTTAAAGAACAGGACAGTTTTAGGCCGCTTACAACTGGTGCAGTCAGTTACTCCGATCGAAGTAAAGCTAAAGACAGAACACACTCGTGGGGCAGATAAGTCGAATCCAAACGGAACAGATAGTTCGCAGTCAGGCCCAACCAGTCAGTTTTCGCACGACGAAGCAAGCGAACCGTTCACTTTACCCTCTCACTTAAAGAATGTTGATATGAGTACCCTAAACGAAGAGCAGAGAAAATTAGCCACAAAACTTCTGATCGAACAGACGGATGTTTTTTCGAGAAACGATGACGAAATCGGTTGCATTCCAGACCTCCAGATGAATATTAATTTGAAGGACAAAACACCTGTCCAGAAAAATTATGTTGCTGTACCAAAACCACTATACCCAGAGGTCAAAGCGTATATAGAGGACTTACTAAATCGAAGCTTTATTCGCAAGTCTACCTCCTCTTACAGCTCTCCAGTCGTGTGTGTTAGAAAAAAAGGCCAAAGCTTACGACTATGCGTGGACTACCGCGAGTTAAACAAGAAAACCCACGCAGATCGGCATCCAATACCTAGGATCCAGGAAACGTTAGACAATTTAGGAGGCAACTTGTGGTTTTCCGTGCTCGACCAAGGCAAAGCATACCATCAAGGAGTCCTAACCCCTGAAAGTCAGCCTCTTACTGCTTTCATAACGCCGTGGGGACTCTACGAATGGGTTAGGATCCCATTTGGCCTGTCCAATGCACCCGCCTCGTTCCAACGTTTTATGGAAACGTGCCTTGGTGAACTAAGAGACGAAATATGCGTACCATATCTCGACGATATTATCGTATTCAGTGCCACGTTTGACGAGCACATTTCACACCTCCGAAAGGTTCTACAGCGGCTTAAAGAACATGGCGTAAAATTGAAACCAAAAAAATGTTCAATGTTCAAACGAGAGGTCTTATTCCTTGGACGAATTGTTTCTGCAGAAGGCTATACATTGGACCCGTCAACAGTTGCTCCAGTCCTCCGATTAAAAGCGACTCTCCCCAAAACAGTGAAAGATGTCCGAAAGCTAATGGGATTCCTGAATTATTACAGACGATACATAGAGAATTTCTCTAGCAACGCTAAACCCATTTATGACCTGCTTAAGTCCGATGATGATAACGACAACAAGGTAAAGGCAAAGGGAAAACGTGGTGTTCAGCCGCCCCCAAATCAGCCGATAACATGGACAACTGTTCACCAGTCCGCTCTAGAGAAGCTTATCGGGTGCCTTATAAACCTACCATTAATGGCATATCCAGAGCCTAATAGCCCCTACGTCCTACACACGGACGCTTCCGAAAGTGGGTTGGGCGCGGTACTGTACCAAAAACAAAACCGAAAACTACGTGTCATCGCTTACGGTTCTCGGACATTAACAGCAGCAGAAAAGAACTACCACCTTCACTCCGGAAAACTGGAATTCCTAGCTATGAAATGGGCAGTTTTGGGATTACCTCTACTACGCGCCAAGTTTTGTTGTGTTTACGGATAACAACCCTTTGACGTACGTCTTATCGACCGCCAAACTTAACGCAACAGGACTACGGTGGGTAGGGGAGGTAGCGGAGTTCAATTTTACCATCCGTTATCGGCCAGGAAAATCAAACGCCGACGCTGACACGCTCTCTCGAACATCAAGCGATATGAATGAGTATATGAAATCGTGTACTCAGAAGACCAGCCAAGACGAGTTACGGACCATACTCATACTGTACAACTCCAAGAAAAGGGACAAGTAAACTGGGTATCTGCGCTCACCGACGAACCGGACGTCCTGAGTGCCGACGCGGCAATACAGCCCGATAACAACAGATTAACATTCGAAACAACCGACATCCAAAAGGCCCAATTGGAAGATACTGTCATTGGGAAAGTCTACTCTCTCATTCAAACGGATAAGCGACCAACAGCGAACCAACAAGCGAGAGAATCACCCGATACCAGATTGCTTCTTCACGAATGGCAAAAATTGTGTATCGATGCAAAGGGGTATTAAGAAGGAAAAGTAATGCGTACGACCAGATAGTTCTTCCCAGGAAGTACCACTCGTTGGTTCTGAAAGAACTTCACGACAAAATGGGCCATATTGGATCTGATAGAGTCTTACATCTCGCGAGAGACCGTTTCTACTGGCCTCGAATGCAAAGAGATATAGAACACTACGTGAAGAACCAATGTCGATGTGTTAAACAGAAACCTCCCCGATTAAAGAACAGAGCCCCGTTACAGCCGATTATAACCTCTTCACCATTCGAGTTAATATCTATTGACTTTGTCCACCTAGAGCAATCAAGTGGAGGTTTCGAGTACATCCTTGTAATCGTCGACCATTTTACGCGATATGCACAGGCATACCCAACCCGGAACAAAGCGGGAAGGACAGTGGCTGAGAAACTGTTTAATGATTTTGTGTTACGTTTCGGGTTCCCTGCGAAAATCCACCACGATCAAGGCGGAGAGTTTGAAAACCAACTCCTCTCTCGGCTTGAACAACTTTCGGGTGTCAAACATTCCCGCACTACACCGTACCATCCACAGGGTAATGGGCAAGTCGAACGTTTCAACAGGACACTGCTCGACATGCTAAGAACACTCCCGGAAAACGAAAAATCTCGTTGGAAAGATCACGTAAACAAAGTAGTACACGCCTATAATTGTACTAGAAATGATTCAACTGGATATTCACCATTCTTCCTTCTTTTCGGGCGTCATCCACGTCTACCTTTCAGTCAGCGAAGGATTTAGAAGATATAACGAAGTCAGATATATAATTTGAGTACTAAGTGTTTTATACACTATTAAATAAAGACGTTTGGAGTTAATTCCTGTGCTATTGGCATCAAAGAACCTAACAACGGTAACGTAAACACGCAGCGACGTCGCTCAAGTTGACTCGTTCCATTTGTTGCTTTTCACGAAGCGCTCAAACCTTTGTAAATACGAAATCGTCCTCATCGTCAATAAACAACTTCACTGCATCGTCAATAAACAACTTCGAGGCAACTTCACTGCGGTTAGTCCTGAGTTAAAGTACTGTTTAATAAACGAGCAGGAGTGTTTTATTAGGTTTAAAGCCACGACCGCGCAGCGCGAGTGGCTTTAGACCAGGGCGCTTATATAGAGGGCGGTGAAACGCGCTGATGTCGCGCTGATCGATGTGTGATGCGGAAAAGGACTGGCACGAGCGTGCTTTTCGGCAAAAGTTGACAAGGAGCGTGATTTTTCCTGCTGTTGTATTTTCGCTGTTGTATTTTCGCTGTTGTCTTGAGGATGTTTTTGCACTGTAACGACGAAGTAGTAACTAGTGTATCGTACGAATGCTTGTTTGGCCTGTATAGTTGAATTTTGAAAGAAATATTGAGGATAATGAGTCGGGCTTTTGATGACTTCAATGAAGGGAAATTTTCAAAACAACATTTGGGCATGTTATCAAGTCGTCCAAACTTCGAAATTCAGTTGATGGTAAAGATTATAATTATGTGCTTATCTCCAAAAGTTTTCATAAGACTCGGAGTTGAGCAATTGAATACACAGCGTTGGAAAGTGAGGTATTTTTGTGTATTAAATTTTGCCTAATTAGACCATTATTTCGCTGCAAAAAAATAAACAACAATTGTATTTTGGCCATGTCGTGATTTTTTGTTATTATGTTAATAATTTTGTACGACTTTTAAGGCATTCAATTGAAGTAATTCTGAGCCGTAAACATATTTTACTTCTTGGCCTTTGAATCAAAATACGACTCGCTCGGACGTTTGTTGAGCGCAATAGTCGAAAAAGTTTCGTCCCAACTCTGATTTTTTTTTGACCGGCTGGCTAAGACAACTTCTCGTAAGGATTCGTTAAAAAAATACAAATTCAAGTTGAGCATTTCTTGATTTTCAACTGAAAAGATCAACTAGTGGCTAAAATTAATTGTGAATTGTATTCTATCGTACGTGAACGATACGTGTACATCCGAAGAGTTTTAAAAACCTTTCACGTCATGCTTCTTGCGAAAGCAACCGTTCGTAAGCTTTCGCAAGCGTTTTGATCAAAAACTCTAAAATATTGGCAGTATTACCTGAAAATACAATAGCAGAATCTACTAAATTATCGTATAACATCGGAATTTTACCCCCAATATCTATTTCTTCATCAAAACTTGACCCACAAAACAGTCAAAACTTCCAGCTCAGTTTTCCCGCCATATTTATCCTTGCCATAAGACAACGTCGCCATAGTAACCACAGCAAACTCGTTACCAGTTCATTGCATCACACATCGATCGGCGCGCCTATAGCCGTTTCACCGCCCTGAACAGGTAGGCAATTTGTCGACGCTGACCAAAAATAGCGGATCATTTCTTCTCGAGTTGCCATTTTCGCTTCGAAGAGCAAAAATATAGACTTTGGGAGAATATTTTAGCTGTTTACTATCAAACATGTTTGTGAACAGTTGATAATCTTACTGAGGAAGGCCAACGGTTTCTGAAAAGCTAAAGTACGTCGAAATCCAGCTTTGGAATAGACTATATTTTCACCGGGGAAACATGAACTAAATGGATATTTACATCAACACTACATTTTGCTCGTGCCTACAGAGCTAGTTGGATTAAAACAGATGTTAAGAAGTAAGTGAATAACAAAGTGAATTTTGTGAATTATATTTTAATTAAAATGTTTCAGATGGTCTGCTAATGCCAAACTACAAGCGTGACAAAGCTGTCAGTAAACCCATATTTCAATGTTTATGTTGTATTGACCCAACTTCTTTGAGGTATAGCTTAAAAATTAGGGTATGCTCATCACTTGAAACTAGCTTTAAATCAAAGTTTTATCTATTGTTCTTTTATTAGAATTAAAATCATTCATGGGAAAAATGTGCCAAAGGGTTGAAATTGCCCTTGTAAATGTACACTATTTTTGACATGTTTGGGTTAGTATTTTGAAAAGGTGTTTTGGAAGGAAAATATGTTTTGAATAATACTGGTTGAGCCTTAAATTATAACTACTGTCATGTAAATTACAGAAAATTGAAAAAAATCCGGTCCATACACAATATTTTGAATTTTACAAGGTCTCGAATGGGGCTTATTTCAATGTTGAATCTGTTTACCTGGAAAAACTTAGAAAATTGAATAAGTCAAGAATTTGACTATGCTCATCATCCAAAACCAGGTTTTTCTAATTGCTTTTTCACCTGGGTTTGTGGCAATACCAGTTAGGAGACCATGAAAAATGCGCGCTGCACTTTTTTTGGACACTGAAGATGGTGACATTTGATGTTGTCATATATTGCCATCCTCTTATCATAGCATAACTTAACTTATTTTAGTGAGTTTGTTAAAGTGTTGTGCTCACTATATGCCTGTAATATCTAAGATTTTTTCATGGCTTTATATGATAAATTTAAGTTCTGTTTTTGTTTTGCTAATTTAAAAATAGATAAATAATTACGTCATTGAACAGACACAGTCACGTGACAGAAAATGGCGGGAAATAAACACGTTGGTTTTAAGCTGTTTACTCGAGGTTTAACGTTCAGAAATAGGTTTATATTTGGTGTATTGTAAAGTGATATAGGCCAAAGAAGTAAGTTCATGTTGTTTATTATTACTAATTTACTTTATTCAGTAGATAATTCTTGTATTTATACTTTTAGATCGAATATTACTACTACTAACTACTAAAACTGATTATTATACGATATTTGGAAATTATTTGTGGTCACTTTACAACCGGTTTCTGATTCTGGCGAGCCATAAATTCGATTTCTAGCTGACCAGGGCTTAAAGGATATTCAGAAAATGACGGAGGTAACGAAGGAAGCGTTAAACGAAGCGAAAAAGAAGCGGAGATGTGCAAAATCGAGTGTTACCAGGGCAGGAAATGGCTTGGATTATTTATTGAAAAATGAGAGACCTATACCGGAAGTTGAGGAATCACTCGCTAATTTGGAAGATTTATACAAGAAATTGGTTGAAAAACACGACGAATATTTCAGTTGGTGGATGGCGATGAAGAATTTGCAACTGAGGAAGAATGGATTAAAAATTGTCAACAGAGGTTTATGCAGATAAGGATCAGAACAAAGGATTATTTAGAGGTCAAGTCACAAGGTCAGTTTGAAAATGAAACAAACCCAGAAACAGGTTTAGTGCCCAATCAAACCGAGACAACTGTTAGTGACAATGGGCAGCAAGAGCATGACAGTATCCCTGGGTCTGGTCAAGGCCCATCCCACCAAGGTGAAGGTCCATCCCACCAAGGTCAACCCCCAACCCACGAAGGTCAACCCCCAACCCATGAAGGTCAACCCCCATCTCACCAAGGTCAACCCC